CCCCCAAAACCCCAAAACCCCAAAACCCCTGTGAATTAGGAGCGAACTGAAATATTATCCGTTAATTCTAAAATAAAAACAAATAAAATTTACCATGGCTGACAGAAAAGAAGAAATTCATGGTTCGAACAGGAAGGTTCAGTTTGATAAGGAAGCAAAGGTTGAAGATGGAGGTAGCCCGCTGAGGAATTTTGGAAGAGCAAGATATTCACGTCCTCATGACCTGGGATATTATCATAAACCAGGTTATAGAAGTCATATGCATGAAATTCATAGAGATGAAGGGAGATATTATGATCTTTCTCCTCATTCAAGGTATGATTACCTTCTAGATGCACCCACAGCTGCTGGAACTGATCACTCTGGCTTAACTCATGGCTCATGATATGCTCAATACAGAGGAACAGCAAGAAATTTAGGTTATGGTAAATTAGCATCAAATTAACAATATAGTCCATCATGCTGGAACACATATTTATGAGTCTCCTACGAGGGTCAATAGAAGCTACTCTGGAAATATTCATTCCTGAAATAAATCTCCTATAAGAGATATGCTCCATCATAGATCTGTAGTTGATCCCCCTCATACAAGAGTGGTAGAAAACTTACATCATAGGCCTGCAATGGTTGAAGAAGTTCACTATAGTGGTTCTCCTATAAGACATGGTCTGCCAGGCAAGGTTGAAGAGGTTCATTACAGAGGCTCTCCAGTCAGACATGATTTTCCAGACCATGTAGAAGTCTCTGTGGGGAAATACTCTCCTTGCCATCGCTCAACCAGATATTTCCCTGCTGGTGGTTCCCCTCTCACCGCTGGATCGATTCATAGAGAACTGGGCGAAGCAGAGAGGAGAGCAGCTGACTCTGAAGCCAGAAGAAGAGAAGAATCACAGAGAAGAATCTGGGCTGAAGAAGACGCTTGCAGGGAAATCAGAAAACGTCTCGATGCCGAAGACAGACTTGCCTGGGAAGCCAGCCAAAGAGCAAGAAAGGAACACGAAGATATCGCCAGAGAAGAATTTAATAGAAGAGAAATGGAAAGAAAAGATAGAGACAGAATGCTCAGAGAAAGAGACCTTGAAGCTCTAAGAAGAAAAGACCAGATTGAGAGAGAAATGATGGATAGGGACTTGGAGGAGAGAAAGAGAATGACAGATGAGCTTTTAAGACAAAGGGTTAAAGGAGATATTGAGAATGCTAAGAGATTTGACCAGATGATGCCTAAATCTTATGATGAACCCAAGCGTGATATCGTTTCGGCAATCCCAGATAAAAAGAACAAGAATAAAAAGAAGAAGCGTAAGGTTTATAATGTAGATGTTTTAGCAAAGAAAAAGAAGAAGCTAGTTAAGAGAAAGCCAAATCATGATAAAGATGCTTGCAATGATAATGGAGTTCACAGAGTTGAGGGTTCAATCCCTGTTGATCCAAAATATGATCAAATAGCGACCTCAATGTTCAAGAAACAAAAGTATAGTTCACCTAAGGTACAAAAGGCGAGAGTTCATTCCGCTAATCCGAAAAGAGCTTATCCTTTAAATAATGTCACTGAAGAAGAATACTTAAAGGTTCTTTATCCTGACATTGACTTCACATCTGCTGATGTTCATTGCTTAAGAGAACACAAGAAGGAATGGTTTAATGATTTTATGAAAAGGGTATTCGAAAAGAGTATAGTTATTAAAAGACCCAAACATGACTATGGTAGAACTAAATTTATACCATATTTAAAATCTGAATCAAATTTTCTCAATAATCAAGTAAAATACGACCTCTTCATGCAGAGATGTATGAAAACCTCACCATACAACGATAATGGTGGAGAGAACTACTCTATGTTAAAGAAGATGGTGAGACATAGGTCAAACAGTCCAAAGAAGAACTACCAGAGAAACACAATCGCATCTTTGGCAAAGGCTTTATAAAATTATCTATGAAAAATTCCAACTAATTCCATAAAATCGGGGTTTTGGGGTTTTGGGGTTTTGGGG